AAGATCAAGAGAGCAGTAGCAGTGAAGAGGGAATGGAATTCCGCGACTGAGTTGGCAAGGGAGCGAGCTGCAATCTTGTCAGCCAAGTTCGCAGCAACGAAAGCGACATTGAAGGAGCGAGAAGACCAACTCCGGGAAAAGGAGATCGAGTGCGAAGTGCTGCAATTGAATTTGGCAAAGGAATCCGGACGGTGTGCAGAATTAGAGGAAACATGTGGCGGACTTCGTATCTCTAACGAGAATGGGCAGAAGATGACGTGGATTTGCTCGCGAGATTGGAGAAATCGAGAGAAGCGTATGATGCGGCAGTCCAACGATCGGAGGAGCTGATCAAAACTGCAGAGAGTCGGAAGAAGAAGCATGCTGAAGAGCTTGCGGAAGTTGAAGCCCGAAGATCCGAAGAAGTTCGTATCGCCGAAGAACTTTGGGGGAAGATTACATAGGCGAAGATGGCGGAAGAGTATCTTCGTAGTAAGATTGCGGAGATTGCGGGTTAGTGTGACATGAAATTCTGACCCGCGGAGGAGCTATCGGCGAGTCTATCGGAGTGAATCCAGAAGCACGAAGAGGAGTTGACGAATTGGGCTAAGAAATTGGCAGATTGCGAATCGGCCAAGTCTTCGGAGGTCGAATGTAAATTAAAGGTTGAATCGGAATGTCGACGGTTGCGGGAGCAGTTAGTTAAGGCGGACATGAGATCGCAAGAGTCACGAAGGAGAATGGAAAAGGCAGAGAAGTCCTACCGTCATCTGCGCGATGAGACAACCGATGAGTTAAGACTGCGTGTAGAGAAGTTCCGGCGCGGATTCGCGATGTTGGGATTGCAAACGGTGTAGTGGTTGAAGTTAGATTCGCTCGAGCGACGGTTGATGAGCACTAAGTCTAGCGGATCCGCAAGACAGAAGCAGATTGTAGAGATAGTTAAAACATTTTCTTAAGGATTCGATGAGACGCGCCAGAATGTAGAGTTAGAGATTATAAACGTTTTGCGTAGACTATGAGCAGAAAATAGTTCAGACGATGACGTAACCGCTACATCGGACGGCACAGCCCTTGAGACTGATTCGCCTCAGGCGGTTGAGATTCCAAAGTTGTCATTGTGAATAAAGAGACCCAAGATTCTTTCCTTGGGCGGCTTTTCTGTCATTTGGCTTGTCTTGGCTGTGAACTTGTATCCACTGTGTGTCTGTGTGCTGGTGTGTGATCCAGACGCCGAGCACAGTGCGCTCCTGTTTGTCAAAGTTACTGCATCATGAGTTGTGAGTGTCCAATTTGAATGTTCTGAGTAGCCGTGTGTTCCTTGGGATTTAAGCAAATTCAAGTCTGGATATTTGGATCAGTGAGTCGGGATGTATGCAATGCTGGGAAGTTTTTCCCCTGAAATATGAATGTGTGGTCGCAGGCGATTTCCACAGGGGTTGATTGGAAAAGTTTCACGTTGTGAGTATGAATATGCGCTACTCTGTAGGTCATTGACCGTAGCTGGGTAGTGTCTTATGGGAGTGGCATTGGCCTAAGAAGTAAAACTCCTTAATAGAATGCTAATACCTGACAAATCGTGACTTTTGTGGTTATTTCTGTACTCGTGGGATCGGATCAGTACCATTATGCTCCATTTTGGTATTTGTTTGTCATTACACGCTACTACAAGGTAATTATCACGATCGCACATTCGGAAGTCAAGCTTGCAATTCGTTCTGTCATCCTAGCGATTGCTGCCGCTTTTGATTTTGTTCGTCTGCGCACCAACTTTACACAAGATACCACCGAAGATGTTGGCACCGATTTCTTCATCATTTTACTAACGGAACAATCCTCTCAATCAAAAGATCCAACAAACTAAACTCTGCCGACTTCGGCTCACAAACCAAAGGTCTTTTGCCCCGGTCGAATTCCACTGTATCTGAAGATACTTGACACGAAGGCAGCGTCGATTTCTCCGTAATTGTCTTGCCAACTGTCGCCGCAAACTGTTCCAAAGGAGTAACCTTCGAAGACTTCTTGATTTCTTCGCGCACTCCCCTAAGTTCGTTCGTCCGAAGACCAAAGATCTTCGCCTGAAGTCGCTTCTGGTTGACCTAAAGGCCAAAGGCATTGACCTGAAGGCCTCAAAATAAGCAAAAGTGCCATTGTCATATTGCGTCGTAGCGGGTCGATGTAATCCGTCGTCCGCCACCCATACTTGGTGGATCGAGGCGGCTTAAATAACACTACGAATGTTTTCTACTCTCATTGAGTCATCTTCACGTTCTATTGCTCGTAGAGCAAATCGCCTTCTTGACCTACACACAGTCCCAAGACTTGAGCCCATTGCTCAATTGTCCAACTCTCAGGACAACCACGAATCATATTGCCTTGTGGCGCGTGATCCTCAAGCCACTCCTTCACAATCGTCGCGCTACTCCAATTCCAACCTCAGAGCAAGAAATCAAGTATGACGGCTGTGAGCTCATCATAAATGCTCTCAATCCAAATTCTGGCACTCTCAATGCCTTCAATCGAAGTCCGTGACCTCGCATCATCGTTGCGCTCTCAACAACTCACTTGCGATCCTCGCTGAACTCTTAATTTGAAAGTGAACTCTCTCAAAATGTCCGCACAGAACTCTCGTTTCTGCTGTTGTCTCCCGACAGCCTAATCGCCTCGTGAAACTTGCACTAACTGTATGTGCAAAGGCCGAAGTTCCTTCCCATCGGAGCCGCTTTTTACTAAGTTGAAAGTCATTTCTTCTCCTTCTTCTTATCCAAACCAACCACTTCTAATATCTATAACTTGGTGATATTTTATCCGTTCCGTTAGAACGAGCATGCCAAGTTTCATCTATCAAGATTCTTCTTAATTCAAATCTCCACGAACTCACAACGTTATGAGATATCTATTCTAGTAAGATTAGATAGATCATCATCTATTTAAACTTACTTTATTGACTATAAATAAAAACATTAACTCAAACAGAGAATTATTTAATATGGATTTCAACTATTCTTAACTAATTAATATTGTGATAGAATACTTTATTTAATCTATTTCTAATTATTATTATTATCAAACATAAATTTTTATTCATCTACTATTCAAACTTAATATTAATTATAAATTAAAAACTACATGTTTGAGTAGTAGTCACCACGTCAGTGGTGACTACTACTCAAACTTGATAGTTCCGAAGAAAACGAAAATCTAATCATAGTAATAACAGGCACCACTCGTGTGGTGCCTGTTATTACTCACCGGAAGCTACGATGTCCCGACCTATTGCGTAATAATTTCCCAGACATGCTTCAAACTAACGATTGACACCGTTGTCGAGGGCAACTTTCTTGCGACTTTGTGTCTCAATCAAAAGACTCGTTTACGAAAGAGCCTTTCCTTAAGGTTGTAAATATTCGGAGACTTCATACAAGTATCTGCAAGATTATCTTTATGTGAAGTAGGGTTAAACAGATGGTGGGAACGATATAATTCTTTGGTTTCGCAGTTGAGTACGTCCTTGCGCATTCCAACTTCAATACCCGTTCCGATATTGGCTGGTTTTCAAGTTTCAAGGTGCACGTGGTACGTGGTCGCATTCCAGATTTCAGTAAGTCACCAGAAGTGAGATCAAGAAACTTCGAGCGGAGACCAAAAGCTTCCATCAACCGGCGTGGAAGCGACCAACGTGTTTAAGATCATCATGTCCATCGGTACATGATGAACATCCATCATTAGTCAAGGAGCTTTGTGAAGCATCCATGGCGAACTTCATAAATTCGTGAAATAGATCGCATCTGTACATGTTCACGACTGTTCAAGGTCCAATTGCTCGAAGAATGTAAGTTCCACACAAGGAAATGTGGACAACCCATAAATAACCAGTGCAGTCTCAAAGACAAACATCATGCGGCAAACGTATTTATGGTAGTGCATGTGACTATCACTGTAGTTAGACTTTACATGACGATATGTTTCATGATATAATCTGCGATGTTCATATATCATAACTTGGAAGACAATAAGTATCTTATCAGTTAAGAGGAATGGAGACAAGGCATTGCGTTTGCGTACCACCCTGTATGACTCATTGATATGTTACTCTAAGCAAAACGATATCACATGCTTCAAGCGGGTGATGTTGACAAGCAGCCGTCGTGAGAAACGAAGTAATACCAGTATTACTTCTTCCGCTGATATAATTAGATGTCAGCGCATTATGACGAAGTTGATGAAAGCTTCACCTCTGGGATTAAAATGCTTAGTTCTTAAGAAGAGAAATGGTACCAGTGTTACAAAACTTGCAGGTATCACGTTGTCTGTGCTGAGAATATGTCACTAGAAGGCCAAATCTACTAGTCCAACTGTAGACGAATTTCCGGCAAGTAGAGTGTGGCCGCTAAATTAACACATGTTCAAGACTTGCATGATCTAAAACGTGTGTTACTTCACTGTTAAAGTTGTCCGACTCAGAACTTCAAAAGTACCTGTACTTCGCGCTGGCATCTCTTCTTGTTGGTTGTAAACCCGTACTTATTCGTTCATCAAAATCTGCAAAGATCGGAACAGAACTGATCCGCGTACCGTTAAAGTGGAATGTCGTCCTTCATATCGACATGCCACAGACCAACCCAAATTCAGCACTCCTCACCACGCTGTGATACCATATCCATATATTCGCCCTGGATATGGAAAAACGAAACAAGATGGCGGTCGTGTAACCTGCTATTTCAGATTCAAAATCCAAGGAACGATATGATGCTAGAAAAGTGTGGAGAATGCAGGTTCTCTTCCACTGGCGGTACAGTGTGCACGTATTATCCAGTACCTCAGCCCTCCGCTGGAAAGAATAACTAAGAACACTGTCTACTGTACCAACTTACACACAAAAAAAAACCAGCCCGCAGTTTGTGAAACAGAAGGAAACCAACGAGTATAAATTCAACGTCCCAGTTCATGAATGAGACTCACTCCAGACCCCACGAATGCTAGAATATTTTAGACTACTCGTCCAAACCCTATATCCAAAAGTAATTGATTTGCCCACCCGCCCTCGATAAAAGGCAAGACTTTTATTTAGAATCAGTACAGAGCCAAAGCAGTTGGCAACAAACTAAAGTACACACTAGCTGCAGATCATCATATTAGTGTTTGTCAAACACCCACTCCACATACAGTCCCTCATGGAGGACTCTATCCCTCTCCCTCTGTCTCTCTGACTGAAAAGCTATGGCAGAAGATACTACATGAATACGATCTCTCTAAGTTGGATGGAACCACTCAAGTAGACGGGTGTTCCTGAGTTCAACTCTACTTGGTAGCAACCTGAGAACGGTTATGACCGGCAGTGCTTTATGCGTACCATTCCACACCCATCACTCTCCCAAACTCTTAAACTACGTCGTACGGTTTGAGTTGGCACTGCTCTAGAAGTACAATCTCACACACTCACATCAGGGGACAAGGGCAGCTACTTGGAAGAGAAGGAGCCAGGGAATGGTTGCTGATAAATGGGCTGATTTGAGTGGCTGGCAGGGAACGCAAGTAGTGGAACACGAGTACTATTTCCGTATGAGATATACCACAAAGCAATGTCACGGCCAGAGCCATAAAAAATTATCTTTGACTGACGAGTGTCAGGAGATTTTCTACATCGGTATTCCAAATGTCAATCACCGTTTTAATTTTTTAAACAACCACAATGACTTACAAGAGATCTGCACAATTGAGGAAATCTCCAACTCGCAACACCACAGGGAAATCCTTCTCAAACTGCCTGAGCGATGGAAGAACTAAAGATCACCGACCCGTATCTGGTTTCTATTGCATCATGTCTGGTAGGGGATTGAACGCAAGAGCTTCCATCATAATCAGCTCCTTAATGTGTTCCTCAGTAAACGAGGGCTGCTCAAAATCAAACTCAAAAGGGGCGTGGCAGGCCGGCTCGTCGTTGATATCATGCAGGCTAGCCAGATAAGGATGACTCAATGCCTGCTCCACTGCAAGGACCCAGCATAATACAACGGACGAAGAAAAAGTTAATAAAAACCCACGGTACAGGAAAGAAACATTCAATTCACTAGGAGCCTATACCTACGAGAAAGGTCGAAGGATATGACCAAGAGGAAAAATCAAAAACCAACTTCGATGAGAATATTGCTCTTCAGAACAAAACGTGGTAATCTTTGTGTCAACTGACCTGTGATACGTTTGTAGGGGTCGAAGACCAGCATCCTCTCTATAAGGTCGACGGCGGCAGGATTCATGTTGGGATACTTTCTTCCCAAAGGTTGCTTCGGATATCTCATGAGCTGTTGCATGTAGCGCTTGGCATTCTCACTTTTCAGAAACCCGAGGTCAGAGTCCTCTGGGGATCCTATGAGCTGAAGAAACATCATTACTACTCCAAGTCAGAATTGAATTGCCACAAGCTGCACTTCAGTCTACGAACTCCATAAGAAAGGAGAGGCTAACCAGAAAGAGGCTAGCAAAAGGCAGCCGTGAAGGTAACGCTTGTACAGGTGGAGTAAACGACAGAAGTGGTCCGCTCTTGTACTCAGCGCAATTTTTGTTGAGACCCGACCACCTTACCAAGGAACACACACTGATCGTCACTACAGTACAAGCCAAATTAATCTATGAATCTTACCTCAGTGATCAGTTTTAGTTGCTGAACGTAATCTCTTCCAGGAAAAAGAGGTTCTCGATTCAACAACTCCATGAATATACATCCTACAGACCACACGTCGATGGCGGCAGTATACTCGTTACAATTCAATAACAGTTCCGGAGCTCGATACCATCGGGTAACGACATACTCGGTCATGAAGTCGGTCTCCGACGTGGTCCTTGCCAACCCAAAATCACAGATCTTCAAATCACAATTCGCGTTGAGTAGCAAGTTGCTCGGTTTCAGGTCACGATGGAGAACGTTGGCAGAGTGAATATACTTCAAACCTCGTAACAACTGGTACAGGAAGTACTGTTGCACAACATGTTGCGGCATCCCACATAAGGTATTAGCAGATGAATCAGCTACCTAGCTGAGAAATGATCCAACTTGAGTGCACGAGCACCATCAGTTAATCTTGATAACAGATGTGAGGAAGGCTACATTTCAAAACCCTTTTTTGATTTTGACTGCAGTCCAAACTACATCCTCGTATATATTTGCCTACAAAATTTGACCAGCAATCCACTATATAATGCATATTGCGTTCATTTTCAGATGAAAACCATATGAGAAAACTGCTTGATGACACTACACCGATCAGCCATAAAGAAAAACAATTTTTAACCGGCGCCGACTACAGAGCCTTGGTCAAGATCAGACCTGACAATGATCTTCCGTAAGAGGTTGATTGGAGCGGATGATCTGGTGCAAATCCGTATCCATGAGTTCATAGACGATGTAGACATCGTTGAATTCATCTCTAGTAGGAGGACGAATGATGTCTCTAATGGCGACTACCTGTAAGATTACATGTCATTCGTAAACAAGATGTCCGATGGGGCAAAAATTGAGAAACAGACCTTGCAGTCAAAGACAAACTCTGGTCATCTGCTGAAGTCACAAGATTGAACATATCATTCGCTAGCTATCCCACGAAAAGCATTATCACAAACATCGTGAGAGGGGTCGGTTATCTTCCTTTTGGCAAATGTATGACTCTATTGCAAACACACCGGTAGTCGATGAAAACATACATGCAGCATAGCAGAACAAGAGAGGCAGACCATATCATATTCGACTTGATTTGTTACATATCATGAAATATATGACAGAAGCTTTACATTTTCGTGGTCCATGTGTCGAAGAAGTTTGATCTCACGAAGAGTACGCTTGGCGTCAATTCTATTGTCGAAGGCATTTCCGATCTTTTTTATTGCAACTTCCTCGGTTGTCTCGGAGTTGACAGCAGAACTAACACACACACAAATGATCCATAAGTTGTTAGTCATCAAAAAGTGCATTACGTCAGTACATGTCTGAACAGTACATACACAGCTAGTCCAAAATTAGATAGTGCCAGAACGATTTCCACGAGTATGGATACCACATTCAGTGAAAGTTGTGAAGGCCACACCAAGAAACTGATCCTCAGAACGAAACCTGGACTCTACATTACCTGCCTACAGCTTCTCCTCATAACAACACACAACTTCTCCGGAGAAATCCTTGGTGTGAGTTGCGCAAAATGTCAAGAGTAATGCCATTCTACCCTTTCAGTGTTTAGACAACATCGTATCTTCTTTCTTCATAAATGACCAACAAGTGTGCTTTATCCTATGTTCAAAACTTTGTGTGCCCATGTCTCATGGAACTACTATGAAAGAGCGGTACTTGACATACAATCTACAGTGCTGATGATTGGCCTACCTTCTCCTACCATTCCAATCCAGCAAAAGTTTGAACTAAGAATACTGAATTTGCAACGAACTCAATCTTGCATGCGTGACAAATGGAGATGATCGTGAACGTCAATCTTATAATATGATCAAAAGTGTAAATCTCATTAATACAAATTTATGAATTTTATATTAGATTGAGAGGACCTCATGTTCTTGAAATTGAAGATATTGTGAAATTGTAACTATCTCTGACTAAGATCCAATGTGTGTGTTCCGGGTTGAAAAATGAAACGCCACTTCAAACCGTAAATCGCAATGTGAAACCCTGTTGAAGTTAGATGTACCTTGCATGAATCCTTGTACGAAGAACTGAAAATATCACAGATAACAAACTGAAAATGATATCAAGTCGCTTATTGTGCTAGACTTTCTACGACAAAGGTCTAAAGCGATAACAATTTCAGCTGGAAAACGGTGACAGAGAACCATCTCTACACGACAAAGTAAGAATTATCATGGCTCATAGTGAGGTTAATCTACCAACCTCCACAAAACTTGCCAATTAGATCAAGAGGTGGTGTCAACCTGTCTACAACGCAGATCTACAAAAACGCTAGAAACACTACAGCTAAAGTGACACGACAGAGCCAAATTATAATCTACCAGCTATATGAACATGCCAAGAGGATTGTGTAAGAAGCACAGGAAGACACATATGCTCTAAGATAGTGATTGAAACATTGAATAAATGAGAGTCACACAAAAAGCTCTTTTGCTATCCTGGCTAATTAATACACACAGACTAACAAACATGATCTAGGATAGTGCTGGTCATTTTCACATATGAAACTTGAAAAAAAAAACTTTTGCTCTTTTGGCTAATCAAGACAAGACGAGACATCAGGGACACGGAAGAATTACTTTAGGATCTGACAATCTCTCTCATTTATGAAGTCTTACAAGGCATATAAGAATCACGAGAATAAGCTGTCATGGCGACGGTGATTTATGTAATGCACATGCAAGTGTAGCTCAGTAACAAGGAATAAACTTTAAATATCATGTCTACATCCAAAAGTTGAACCTACAGGCTTTCGAAAATGAATAACTTGGCAACGTGAGTCTTGACCATGAAACAATTCCTATATATGCATGACTAGTCCAATATAGATGATCAATTCATGAGGAAACAAAGGTGATGAAGATGAGCACTCCTGAATTAAAGAAAAACAGCTCCTAGAAGGGTTCTGAGGTTACAATATCTGATCGTTCAAAGAAACCATCCGACTGAGATATCTCAATGGAAACCTTGTAGGTCCAATAAGAACAGATTATGTTTATGTTCACAACTCGTCCAATTTATCCAAAGTAGAGGCCATGCATGTGAAGTCAGCAAGAAACATGGACTTAAATGGCACCGACAAAGGTCCAAGTAACCATAGACCAAGTAACCAATAACCATAGTAACCCCTCGCCTCAGTCCACGACGCTAAGCTATCACATGTGAACCACTCCCTTTCTCCGAGTTCCCATCAAGACGGGATCGGCCAGTACAATCATCGAAAAGCCTCCTGCCATGAAGAGAAAATAGAAAACACCAAGAGTTGAAGGAAGATGGAAAGCTCCGAATGATTGGACGAACCAGGCCTCGAGCCGACCGGGCGAGTGGCAGGATTAGAAAGCGCTAGCAAACGGTAAAGCGTTGAATCTAAACTGATACAAAGGCAGAAGCGTACCAGACAATGCCGTAGGCCCCTCTACCGATGGGACGAATCGGAGGCACGTATTTGGCAGAAACCTCGAACAAGTTGCCGAAGATGTTGTAGAGAGTGTATTGCCCACCGTGCGTTGGAACACCTGCTATGTTGCCCTCCGCGGCTGCGGCAGCTGCTGCGGAATCCATGGGGTCTCCTGCATCGGCGTCCTCACCTCCCTATATCTTTTATCCACCCTCGCTCGCTCTTGGCCTCCACTAAGAACTTCACTTCCCGATCTGCTCGCCCTCCCCCATTCTCTCTCTTCCTCTTCCTCCTCCTCTTCCTCTGCCCTGCCTGCCTCAGCAACACCTTTGGGTCTACAACACAGAGAACTAATCCACCACCAGCCGTCCGCTCGATTCCCCTCCCTCCACTCCCCCAAATCCCAATAAACACGAAAACGAAACGCAGAACTCGCACTCTCACTCCTCGCCCGCTCACTCACTCGCTCCCTTTAATCCCTCCCTCGCTCCGTCTGTCGAAATGAAACTTCTTGCGCCTTCTTCCTCTCCGTTTTCTTCAGCCCAGGACGTGCGATGTCTGCTGTCTACCTCCCGCTCTCCCTTTCTCAGCTCCTTCTATTCGCACGCCAAATTTCCTGCTGCATGTCGTCGACTCTCGTCACTCCCCTCCCGACCCTCTCCCTCGCTCGCCTCCGTGTCTATCCTCCTGCTGCTGCAAGGGTGCGTTCGACCACTACCCCTCTTCACACCTTCACCACCTCGTCCTGTCCCCAAAGGCTCTCCCCGTGCCACTCTCTCTCGCTCGCTCGCTCGCTCTCTCGCAGGGTTCCACCGGCGTACGCGGTTTTTCAAAACCGAGCGGTTTTGGGTCTCCAAACCGCCGTTGACTGGAAAAGAGCGGGGTCCTCTGTTGGACTGGCCCGAGTCTGGACCCCGAGTCCCCAGTCCTTGCGTCGCGGGTCTCGCACTGACTCACCCGGTCACGTCATCCGCGACCTACTCGAACCCGCGATTTCTTCCTCTTCCCCTCTCTCGCTTCGCTGAGTCCCCCTCGGCCCGCCGGACGGGGAATGCAAGTCAATTTCCCCGGAGGCATATTCACGGACTGAAGTGTGCGCTGACGTCAGCTGATGGTACTTTAGATATTTCATCTCTTCTTACTTTTACTTTCTGTCCTCCCCTTGGACTCTGTGGCCCCTCTCCGCTCTGTTTAAGGTGCTCGCTTTGTGCTCTTCCGCTTGGACTACGGACCCTTCCGCATTTTATTTCGCATTTTCCAGCTAATGGGCCTCCGGCTTGCCTCTGTTTGGAGCCTTTGCGGCCTTTGGGGTTTTATCGTCAATCTTATCTATAAGTATTTAGGACGAAGAGATCTACATGGGTTCTATGAATCGGGGAAGACACGAGATGTAAAAACCTTACAAAACTACATAATTTGGTGTGTTTATCGTTGTGACGAATGGCCATGCATTATATGATCATATGTAGCTTTTCGCTGCTGTCTTTCTTGATTATAAATTGGACCCCTTCCGAAGAATTTCATGTGGTATGTACGATATGAGGGTCTAGCAGGTTGATGTCTTCACAGACTCTTACCCTTTTAATTAATCGATAGCGGGACGTGTGTCTCTTGCCGACTTCTTCGAGAGCTGTCACTATTATTGAAAAAAATTTATGTTCCTTGTGTACGTACGGTGGAAATATTTATATTTTTCATTTTTACCTTAAGCTACAGATACATCTGGACAAGAATGAGTGGTTACCCTTATTGTCTCATCCACTGATAGTCTTCTGATAAAACCAAACCTAATTCTAAGAAAGAACGAGATCGAAATTGGGAAACATCTGTGACCTCGAGGGAAGATTCGAAGCAGTTAGCTGGGTGCATAAGTGGAAGTGTCGAGGAAAAGTTTGTCAACTGATTTGCGCGCATTCTGAGTACAGCTCACCCTATTCTATTTTAGAAGTGAACTTCAACTGATACATGAGATTCTTTGAAAGAAGCCAGTACCGATCCGTACCCAGCTCAGTTCCAATTGTTCAAAGTGGAACTTTTACATGATTTGAACGGCCTGACCTTCCGTGCAGTATCCAAGATTGAGAAAATGAGAACGAAGTTTCGATTTTTATTCTTTAATTTGCTAATATTGATATGATAGGCTTTGTACACACTTCACTATGTGTCTGTATATGAATGAAGTAGAGTAAGTGATTCACGGGCAATCACGAATTAACATATCACGTCTTCACTCCCCCATGAGAATAACCAGAATTTATATATGGAACGTACTGTGTTTCATCAAGATTCAACATTTTCTCATGATACCCGAGTTATCTTTCGCTGACCTATATATCAATTGCTAGTATAAAAGGTCGATTGACATTATACGGACCAAACGCTTCTTTGCTGTATTTATTGATCGAAGTAAAACTTTTTTTTAAAAACCATCTAAAGCTTGAAGGGGAGAAAACAAAATCATGATTCATGACGTATGTGCGTGCAGTCATTAATTGAAACACAGGTTCGGTAAAATACAGTTGGGTACATCCAATCTGAAGAGACCAAGTGCCGCATCCCCGTCGACAAAGTGTGCGGCACGAGGGAGAGTAGAAGGCGAGGAAAACTGTATATGATAAGAAAGTCTCATATGGAGCACAACGATGCAGTTTTCTCACAGCAGTTCCACATCATGGGCCCTTTTCTTGGATTTCCCCCATGAAAAATGCGGAATCTTCCTACACACCAGCTCATTCTTCAGCACATGGAAGCCAAAGAAGTCGTACCCTATGTACGCATGGTCATACCTCGAAGCAAATAGAAGAGCCAGAAGTTCCAGAGAAGCACTAAAGTGAACACATGATGGGGTCTAGAACCATTTTTGTCATCGGATCAGCCACACCTTGTCTCATAGTTGTTCCACCATCCACAGCTTGCAAGTTGTTGTGTTGGGCGCTACACTTGCTCTACCAATTCCTACACTTCTTCCGAATATTCCGTCTCGTGGTTGGAAGTCCTCAGTCGTCGCGAGCATTCACGCTGCGCCTCATCATCGTCCTGCAGAATTTCCAGTGCACAAACATTTCTTCTTAGAAGCAATGTCCACTTTTTCTCGAACAGTGGCTGCGCTCGAGTCTGCTCCTGCTTGCAAAGCTCCCGTAGGAAGGCACCTTATTCTCCACCTAGGTTCACGTGAGTGTATATATCACCGTCAGGGTTACCCCAGATCCAACCAGTTCTTACCATGTGGCTTCTGGTTAAATATAGCGAACGCGTTTTGTCTTTTATTTCGGCTCTCGCTTTGATCTTGCCGTCCAAGCCAAGGTCTTGCTTTTGTGTGGAGGCTCATTTCGTGCACCATTGTCTACCACCGATTCGTTTCTTATTCCACTAGGTGGTGCTACGCTTTTAATTTGATAAAGTTTGTCTTTTTAACTGAAGAGTCGTTGTCTCGCTGATGCTCGCCGTCGTTTTCCTCCTTGAGCTTGTACTTCCACACGTGACTCTGTGCTCATAATCTATAATACGCTGTAAACGCTTTTTTCCGTTCTCTTCACTTTGGTCATCGCATTTGATTGTCCCTGATATCGAATCATTTCTTTGAAGTCATGATGTGCGTTTTTCTCTTATTGTGAACGAAACTCGATAGCTTCATCAATCAGAGAACCTATGGTTCATAAATTTCGCTTTTGTTTGTCATGATGCAAACTATGCGAAAGCTATTGAAATTTCAAAACATCCGATCAGAGGATTAACATCATACATAATTATAGTGGTTATAAAGTAACCTAAAGAACTCATCATGAAAGTATGAAATAGATCCATTTTCCTACGACGAAGTGTTACATATTCCTTACCTACAAACTTACTTTGTAACCTTTTTCCAAACAAACTGAATCTATTTGTGAATAAAGAATAACAACTTCAACACCCATAATCTTTTCTTTTTTTAGATCCTTTATTTATTGCTTAGATATAAATTTTGTAATCGTGAATTAACGTCCTTTCATTAGATATTTGTATACAAACTAATGAGTACACTATAGCCTACAAAATATCTAAAATATTTAATCCATTCCTGATAAAATAATACAATTGAACAAACTATTATCCCATTTTGAAACTGTTATTATTATCTGACTACACTTTTATCTTAAGTATAATAAAGTTTTTATTTGAATTATTATTCATTAAATAATTTCATTCAAATACTCAATAAAAAATTGCATCAATTATTGTATCTATATATTTTAAGCCAGACGGGTTTTTTGGAACATCAGTAGAGGTTACATGAAAATATAAACAACCTCTTTCTCTCTCAACAAATTAAAATTTAGAAGATTTTAAAATTTATGAACCCTGCATTCAAAAATTCAACCAAAATCAAATTATTCTCAGAAAATGTAACGAAAATTATTTTCACAGAAAGATTAAAACATTAAACTTGAAATTTAATCTTAAACAAAGTTGGATACATTTTGAATATAAAATTAAATATTTTTATTTCCCAATTATTTAATTTAAAATATTCTTTCAATTATATATGAAATACATATTTGTCAACACAAAATCAATAGTTCATCAAATCATGAGTGACAAAAACATAATACTGTTGAATGGTAGTCTTGTATTGAACGTGATTGTTAACAAGTATATTATATATACAAAAATTGAAAACATTCAAATATGATAGTGAATCTTCACATGAATATATATCAAAGTAATCATGTTTAATAATAGAAGATGAAATTATAAATATTTTTGTTTAAATTCCGTTTTTAATTCTAAGGCAAACTTACATGCTTAAATCTAAAAAATATTCCACTATAACAAAAATTTGAATTATAAATGTGAGATGGTCTAAATTATGCAATTATATTCGATGCAAATGAAAACTTAATCAAGGTTTTATTTGTGATGAAGAAAATAATCAAGTACATTTTATCAATGATGTATGAAGTTTACGAATGATTTCATGTGGAAATAATGTATTGACTTTATTGATGAAACGTGAATTTAACATGATTCAAAATTATAACAAATATATACTAATATTTGTAGCATATAATTTTCCATATTGTATGAACAAAAATTATTCAAAAATATATATTTATATTAAATATTATTATATATCTTGTTTTCTATTAAGAATATTAATTCCAATATATTTATGTAAAATGTAACATTTTCATCCATATTTTCAAACAATATAATATTTTTAAAACCATTTATTATATTTATATATATACTAAGATCTACGATTTTTTTTAATTGATTGAATTTGGGAGAATAATTTTGTATATTGCAAAGATGAAAAAAACGTTTAAATTATATAGGTTTAAATTATAACATAATAAAAAAGTAAATCATATGATCAAAATCTAGCAACAAAATTAACTATATGATTTAAAAATAAATAAAGGCAAGAATATTAAACTAAATGTAAATCATACATGTTATATATTCATTTGAATACATATTGAATATTGTGGCAATGAATGCAGATCTAGTTTGTAAACTTACTTCAAACAAATTTATTCATATTAAATGTTTGGAAACTCTATCATATGAAGTACAGTATTAACTTTGCACTTTGATAACAAGACACATGAAGTCTAAAAGCTCAATTGTATACAAATATACACAATTATATTAATTCCAATACAGTCTATATATTTTTACTAATTAGTATATCTTCTGTTTACGTATCGAGACACATTCTTCATACATTTATAGATT